ATAGGCGGCGTGACTAACTATCCGTACCTGTCTGCAACTATCGGCCATGTAAAACAGTCGGTCTAGTGAACAATTGGATATTAGAATATTCAATACTTAGACAAATTTGAAGCAAAACAAAAATTCATTAAAAAGAAGTCGGTCATTAAAGACCGGCAAAATATTCAAAGCCCCGGCCCCCTGGCCGGGTAAATACAAAACAAACGGCACGCAGGCCGTGGAAAGAATACATAAAGCTTAAGAAGGGGGCAGATCTTCAATATTAGCAGCTGCCGCCTGGTCAGCACTCTTCTTGCTGGACTCGGCTTCAGCTGCATCCTTTTTTGATGCATTACCCCCAAGCGGCACAAGCGCCACTACCGGCTCCTCCTCCTCCAACGCTTCCTCCAACGCCTCTTCCTCAGCAGCTGCCAAGATCTCTTGATATGTATCAGAACACTGGCGGTACGTTTTTTCCCATGAGGCAAAGTCGGCATTGGGGAAGAGGCGGCCCCAAGTCATGCGCTGGATTTGAGCGGAGTCTTCCATCATCTCCCGGACCAGCTCTTTCTTCTCTTGCTCGGCCTTTTCCGAGAGCTCCTGAGTAAGACTCTTCTCCTGGGTCACCAGGCGTTCCTTTACGTTGGCCAAGGATTTCTCCAAGGCTTCGTATGAGTACATCTTTAGGCGAAGAGGTTTCAGCTCGGCCTTGAGATTGGTGATGGTCGCCTCCAGCTCGCCATTCCTCTTCTGGGCCGCCTCTAACTGAGCCCGAACAGCGGCGGTAGCCTGCGCCTGATAATAAAGAATATCAATGGTCAGAACTTCATTTTGGGCAATTTGAAACATTGCCTTATCACAGTCAAAGGCGGCCATAGCTTTTGCAGCCTTTACCTCTTTGTTCTTCCGGTCAAGCGGCTTGCGAAGGTCGTTCACTCGGAGCAGGGCCTAAGTACAAAGGAACAGGCGTCAGTTTCCAAACAAAAAGAAAACAGGCGTCCTTGAATTCAAATACTCAAAAATATGCTAAGTATACCTCAGCAAGGACCCCTGCAATCCCGTCTAGGTCAAGGGTGCCGACACCCCTGACCGCCTCCTTTTCAGCTGGAGGAACGGCCTTGATCATAGACTTGGCCACCTCTACCAAGTCAGGCTCCTGAGGGCCGGCTGCATCAAGCATAAACAAACGGATTAGACCTAGTAAAAAAGGGAGCAAGTCTAAAATTTACAAGGACAATTTCATACTTCTAGGCGGCCCAGTTGGAGTTTTAGAAGAAGTGGTCGGCTGTTTCTCAGCCGCCACATGTTTCCTGGCAGAACCAGGAGAGCTCGCAACAGTCGTCCTCCGGGCCTTGGGGTCCGGCTGTTGGGAAGATGAAGCTCTTGGAGCACCCGTCTAAAAAAGAAGAAAAAATTCAGTATATGCATAAACACAACTCCAAAAAGAGGGTGAAAGGTTCGGAGCTCACCAAGGGTTCCCCCTTCTTGGGGGAGTCGGTTGAAGCTTGTTGCATGATGGAGGCCCGCAACATGGCCGCCGCAGTCTTGGAGGCGGTAATTTTGCTCATGGCGTCAGCTGCAAAAACAAACAGCAAAGTTAATAAAAGTCATAACAAGAAATGTATGGAACAACAGAGTATTCGACAGGCCGACTACCTCTTGAGCACCGACTGCTGAGGCCACAGGCGGCCAAAAAGTACTCGTCGTAGAGCCATTTGAAGCTCGGGACGCAGTGCAGGGGTACTTGCTCTCGTACCCCTGAAGTAGAGTCGGCCCTCGACTCTACTTTAAAGAGTCCTTTATCAAGGATCTCTTTCTTAGCCTTGGGGGGAACAGGCGGCATGCTACGGCCGCCTGCAAGAAGGGGCGGATTCCTGTTCCACCTATTGAAGCGCTTGTTCAGCTCAGTGTCTGAACTCTCAATGATGAGGAAGGTGCTCCGCCAGTCCTTCCACTTGTTTGCTTTACCTCTCGTCATGAGGTAGCCCCTGTGGCTTGTCAATTGATACCAGCCGGTACCGCCTGCCTTAGGGGTCCGGCTGAGATAGTTCATATGGGCGAAAGCCTCGAAGCTCGGCTCCACCCCGTGCAGTTCGCACCCGGACACATAGTCGAGTACGTTGACCCAGGAGTTTGGGGCTAACTGCCATAACCCCAACTCATACCCATCCAAGATCCGCTGAACAGCCGGATGTAATGGGAAGCGCAGCCCAGCCTTGATGGCCGCCTCGTAGCAGCCAAAGCAGGCGCTATCATAACTGGTACCAGCCGGCCAGACGACTGTGTCTTCTGGATCCGGCACAAACACTAAAAAGTCGGGGCCCATTGTGTGGTTTGCGATAAAGCTCTCCACTTTCTCTTGCATGACTGTGATCCGGCCCCGAGGTACCGTGCAGTAGTAGGGGGTATTTTGCTCTCGGTAAGAGGCGGATGGCTCCGCCCAATTGTCCCCCTTCTCAACTGCGTGAGAAAGCCTCGCCTCTTGCAGGCGGTTGTTTTTCTCTTCTGTGTCCAGAGAAGCATGGCCAGAAGAGCTAGACTCGGAGTCGCCCTCTGACGAGTCCGAAGAGGACGACTCCTCCCCTCTCCCGGAGGGGCCCGCCTCCTCTCTTTGAAAAGGAGCAGAATTGTTAACTGTTAAATGGGAAGGGGTCACTATGACTCCTCCCTCAGAATTGACGGCTTTCAGGCCGCCTTGTTTCACTTCCACATCTGGCGCCTGGTCAGATGTTTCACTAATCGGCACCCTGTTGGAGGAGCCGTCTGAATTTGAGATCCTAGCAGTCTTTTTCGTTCTGGCCATCCTGATCTGCATAGACACAGATACAGTCGGACTTTGTATAAAGGGCAAAGATGGGTCCGGAAAAGGGCAGGCGGCACTCCTAGTCCTAGATTCAGTCGTCCCCGGTGACCGGCTGATCACTGACCTAGGTCGTGTCGTGTGCTTCCGTGGTGCCATTTCAAAAAATAAAAAGAAAATTAAGAGTAAGAGAACCGACAGTTACCTGAACGAGTAACGATTGATGAAGTGCTGAAAATCCTGTGCAGTCGGCTTGTCAGAACAGGCGGTAGGCAGAAAAGGTCCAAAATGTCAGAGCAAGTTCAGGGGTCCGAATGTTCTCTCACAAAGTTCTCAAGTGTGAAAATGACTCAAGACAACTCTCCCTTATATAGGCGAAGTGAGAAGGCGAAGGGTCACTTTCAGAATTCAAAATTTGGGCGGGAAAATCTCTCGGCCTTTCGCCGACTGACACCTGTAGCAGGTCGTCGCCTGTTACAGTGCGGCACCTGTCACAGGTAACACGTGACCAGTCACGTGCCACCTGTGAGGGGAAAATGATTAGGGGATTTTGCTCCTACCAATCGGAATGCGCCACGTGGGCCAATCAGGTCCTGCCAAGTGTCCCCCAGTTGGAACTGTCAGGGCTTGCCACGTGGCACGCGCTTATTCGTCCACCTTGGACCTATTATGTCATGACACGTGGCATACTCCATGCCTAATGGAGAAACCGGCCACCCAGGCCCAACTTCCGAGGGAAGCCCAATCAGCCCTAGGTTAACCTAAACCTAGGATTGGCACGTTTCCCAAGGTTATAAATACCTCCCTTAATCCTCATTAAGGGGGGAGGACAGAAAAACACATTAATTACAGAGATAATAGGCTGATCACGCTAACGAAGCAGATTACGCTAAAAACTCACATTAAACACTCTCACCTAGAGAGATCCAATCACTTTAATTTCCGCATTAATTACTCCTTAATCAAGTACTAACTTGACCGTTGGAGGCGGAGCTCCCACCACCAGGAGTCTCCGTTGTTTTGCAGGTACAGGCGTCCGGTTCCAGTCTCGGTATTGTAACTCTCCCGCAGGACACAGAAAACCCCGAAACAAGTGGGGTCTCGGGAATAATATTTAACATCTTAGTAACTAAAGTGACTCATGGTGGAGCCTTAAATGGAAATAAAACACTCAAGGGCAAAATAGTCAATTCACGTGAAAATGGGAGCGTCACCCTGTAATTTGCGAACGACGAATTGCAGTTCACATGTCTACGGGCTACATACTACATTTGGGAATAGGGTCTAAAAGCGCCTTGTTTAGTTAGATATAATATTGGTTTTTTCATCTTTGTATTAATGTAAAGATATACGATAAATTTACGTATTGACCAGAGCGTAAAATTATATGTTGGACATGAATTAGATCATTTCAGTCATTATAGGCCTCCCCTAACTCCCCTTGAAAAGCATGTGAAAAACCTCATTGTGGGTTGTGAAACCCGAAAATAGTATACGAAAGCTAGATTGAAGGGCTATGCACAAAATCGAGTCATTTTCAAAGAGTTTGAAACTTGAATTCAAAAACTCAAGTAGTGATGGACATACCTCGAGATTATACAAGATTGTTTGGAACCAATTTTGACCACTAATTAGTCATAATAAGATTGGAATTATGGCATTGATGCAATAATTCAGGGTATCACCCAGGTCAAAAACTCAAAACGCAATTAGGCTTGTTTACTACAGTAAATGAACTTGAAATTTTGTTCAAGTTTGTTTGTTTAATAATGAACTAATGATCAAACCTTGACTAAGTTAGTTCATGAGCTATTCATTGGAATCCTTATTTAAACCTAAATGAGTTGTTTACAAGTTTCAGCTTATTTATGTTTCGATATTACTCTCTTCGTTTTGTAACAATCGTAACACATTTTTTTTTTATTCATTTCAAAATAATTGCAACATTTCCTTATTTGATAAGAACCTAAAACTATTTTTATATTTTTCCCTCCTACCAAACCCACTTACATTTTATTTTATATTATTATTTCCTCTCCAACTAACAATTAATTAACCCCGCTAATTATACTCTATATTTTTTAAAAAAATTCTTTTAGTCTCTACCCTATAATTTAAAAAAAAAAAAAAAGATTAATCAATGGATGAGAATGCGTATGCTTGATGAAAATGGACAGTAGGGCCCACGAGGTGCACAAATTGTATTGGACATGAGAACATAAGAACAGTGATGCAACCAGAGAATTTTTACAGCCGAACCGCTCTCTTTTGACCTTCTTCTCAAACCCAGACACCGAAAACATTGAGGAGTGAGAATCGAATTTGAGGAGAGTGAAAGTTGAAGAGAATTCATGGCGACTTCAAAGCTTCAAGCTTTATGGAACCATCCTGCCGGCCCCAAAACCAGTAACCCTCTTTTCTTCTTGCAATTGAAAAATAAAGATTCAATTTTTATATTTTATGCTTTTGGTTTCCCCAATTTAGATTTGCGATGTTATTGATTTTTCCTGATTTCCCTAATTTTGTTTGGTGTGATTGATATTATAAGAACTTTGGATGAAATTTTTGTCCCGAAAGTTTAGACATTGATTATAAGGTTGATGTGTTTCCCTGTAAAAAAAAAAAAAAAGGGGTAGTTGTTGAAAATTAATATGTTCAGTTGAACTGTACTTTCAGTTGTTAATGGTTTCCGATTAAATTAGCTGTATTTTTTTAATGAAATGTAATTGACCTTGAAAAAAGGGACTTTGATGGGTAATGTAGGGATTCTTGAGCTTAATTTTGATTTATGAAAATTCTGGAGTGTTGGGAAGCTTAGATCATAATTCAATGTGGTTCTGTTTCATTTGGTTGGTGGCTCGGTGTGGATTGATTATACAAAGGATTGCTGAATTGCCTGAATGGCTATGGTGGAGATTGGGATTATGTGTGAAACTGTCATTACTTCAATTAGGCATGCTCATATCGCTACTAGTGTCAAATACGGGTACATGTGTAGGTGTCATACTTGACCATATAATGATAATCTTGCAAGCTTTTGTTTATTATGAAGTGCATTGTGCAAAGTTCCAAATTAGAGTGTTGAGTATCCAACACGGATGCTTGAGGTGATATGAAGAGCGTGATTAATATAGATGGTGGATTGTTTAATTTTGTGGGGGTAATTTACTAATTTGTATTGGAATTGGAGCATATGGCAGCTTAGATGGTGCAGTTTGTGTTTGTACTTATGGGTGATTGTTTGGTTAATAATTATGATTATAGCATATAGTGTTGATGTTTAAGAATTAAGATAGACGTAGCCAAGGATCCTTGTCAAAGAAGCATTTGTGCTGAATAAGTGTGAAACCCAATTTGAGGATGCTCTATCTTTTGATTCTCTCCTTCTAGTTTTAGTTGTCATAGCACTAGCTCAAATTGTATCACAGTTACAATCATCTCCAAATAGAGTATAGCAAATTGATAAACAGAAGCTCTTTTTACGCTCTTTTTGTAGTGTGTTGATGGATGAGAAATAAAACATGCCTTTAGGTGTGAGCCTATGGACATCGGTTGAGGGTATCTGGAAGCTTGAACTACATGTGTCAATAGGATTTTCTGAAGCTGGACTTCTATATAAAATTTGATGCGTCATAAATCTTTGAGTACAGATTCTGACTAGAAATAGACTCATATGCTCGGTCGTAATATATTAAACCAGGGACATGATAGCAAGAATGTGATTAATTTTTCATGTTTCTTGCTACTTTTTATGATTAGCGTCCACGGACTCATCCAATGACTTATTTCCCATTGCAGTTCATTTTTGGGCTCCAACTTTCAAATGGGGCATTAGTATAGCCAATATTGCTGACTTTGCCAAACCACCGGAGAATATTTCATATCCTCAGCAAATAGGTATGTGTCTATGGCTGATACTATCAGCAGCCAGGCATTCTGCACTACATTTTTTATATGAATAGTCCCCCCTCTCCTTCTCTCCCAGGCAGGTTTTTTGGCTAAACTCTGTTGCTCCTTAAACTTTTTGTTTTCCTGATGTCCTTTTCCTTGTCCTGCTCAGCGGTCACAGCCACTGGAATCATATGGTCTCGCTACAGTACTGTAATTACTCCTGTGAGTTTCTTTTATCTCTTTTACGGCTACGTGTAAAAATTTCTTAGTGATTGTGTCTATTAGTAGTTTATTTTATTCTATAGTTTGTAAATAGTTAGGATTTAGCTTCCTTAGTGCAATATTATTTACATTAGACTTTCTTCAAACACTATATGTAGATACACAACTCCTGATATAGTTCTTGTTTTTTGGTAGTAGTCTTTCTTTTCTTAGCGTTTGAAGGCTTGCTAAGCTGCTATATTCATAACGATTTATACTGGTTACTGTAGTCTTTTTGTTGTCTTTTAGACGCCTGCAAAACTTTTTAGAATCCACTCCTTTGATAGACTTTGGTTGCAAGTTCTAATTGTGCTATATTCACATATACAGTTAGTATACGTTTGTAGATTGCCTAAATGCTTAAAAAAAATTCAGCCTACCTCAGTACCTTACTATTGCAGCCCGAGGTTGATGGTGAAATGCTTACCGCAATGAGGCTATGACCCAATATGATCTTTTTGGTGATCAATTGAAATTTTTCCTTGATTGGAGGTGTGAGTGACTTTGTTTTATGTTGCCCCGATATATTCCATAGAAGTAGCCTTTTTTGGTGCTGACGGGGAGGGATGGACCTTTCTAATGCATCCATATACAGTCGCAATGGTTCAGATGTTTTGGCATAATTTTCTATTGGGCTTAATTTTTTGTATGTATTAAGATTTGTTTTGAGATGCCATCGGCTGTTAAATCCTGCTCTGTGTATACCATATTACCATTGTGGGGGCTCCATGTTGCTGAAGAAATACCAAAAATCTTTTTCTCTGTTTTCATGACGTACTGCTTCCAATATCACAAAAATTGTTGCAGCTTGATGCCAAGCTTTGATTTGAAGTTGTGAGGCTCCACTTTATCTTTTGATTATATCTAAACTTGGCACTTCTTTGCATTTAATTTTGACGTATGGATGCTGTTCATATGCTGAGGATATTGGCGGGCTTCTTGTTTATACTTAATCCCGCATTATGTGTAATTTTATCTCAATGCATGTGGTAGTGGCCTATGAGGCTATAGTATAATCAAAACAAATTTGGAATCCCCAGCTCAAACTAGTCAAATGGCACATGACTAAAGCTAACCCTTCATTCAGTTGATCATTGCTACTCAAATCTTTTTTGTTTCGTGTGTATTAAATTGCATAGAGTTTTCTCTCTTCATTTGAAAGTGGTTGAAAATTGGTTGGAAGGAGATAGGTTGAATTCTGCCCTTGATCTTGTTCCATGCTTAATTTATGCTGGAAGCTAAATCAGATGAAGTTTTCTCTCTTCAGACCAGTCTGTGAAATTGTTCCGAGTTTCTCTTACCTTGTTCTTGATCATTTACTCCTGGGTACAGAAAAATTGGAATCTTTTCAGTGTAAACGTGGCTATGGCTGGAACTGGTCTCTACCAACTTTCCCGAAAGATCAAGTAAGTCTACTCTCCCTTCTTTAAATTATGAATTTAAGTTGTATCACGTCTTTGAACAACAATGGCAATGAGCCTAGCATATCATATTTCAAATGGGATGTCAAATGTTCATTCATGCACTTACTAGAAGGTTTTGGGGACACGTTTTTCCCTCGATATTTAAAGAACTTGGTCACCCACCTTGCTAGTTATTCTTTTTAAGGTCAGTGTTAACTTGTATTTAATTGAAATTTCAGGCATGATTATTTCCAAGAGGGAGAACCTGTTGCTGCAAAAGAATGATTACGAAAAGCTAAAGAATAACAAACCAAAACACAAAAGTTCGCCATAATTTGGCTTAGATCCGCATTTATCCTGTTTTTCTGATGAATATGACAAATGACAATGTAATGTTTTCCTTTTTCTGTATCCCATTTTAACACCAATTTTGATGGGAGCAATTCTTGAGCAAATTGTGAGGCACCTGTAATGTACATTTCAGTCTCTCAAAATCTGAAAATACAAGTTCCTCGGATCATAGTTGTTGTAATAGTGATCGTTCTTTATGTTTCTATGCTTGTTTATAATGTTTGATTAGGTCACAACTACTCTTGTTGTGAAAATTTTATTCTGTACTAATCTGGTTGTTTTCGTTCACCATCATCTCACGTAAAACATATACACATCTAAAGCAGGCACTGAATTGAGCTTTACAGAATGTATATATACTTAGATAGCTCGATATCATGCCTTACCCTTTGTAATCATACCCACATGTCATTACAATTAATCAATTACTAAATCCATTGTTAGAAGATGAAGTATAGAGATCATAAGCTTCAAACCATGCACTATATGAATCAAGTTTATACTCCATTCATATCACTTTTGAGCTTTGACACCAATGCACTTGAAAAAAAAGGGAGTATTGATCGTGTCAAAACTCGTTTCAATACTTTATTCGAGCACAGAGTCATCCGTTCTCAATCACAGAGGTTAGAATACAGGTCTAACTAATATCAGATTTATCACTCTATAGCTCTTTTCTTAGTTTGATTGGTATTATTTCCTCTTTACTCTGTCATCTCATTTGATCAATCCATTAATAAGGTCTCCTTAAACCCTAATTCTCGTTTGTCCAAAACCAATCAACTACGAAAAGTCAGTCTTAATTGCAGTTCTTGATTCAATCGAATTTTCCCACAAAAATCAATTTCACAAATTAATCAATTCAAGTTCCACCCTTTTTAAGTTAATTTAAATCCCAATTCACTAAGAAAAGAGAAAAAAAAATCCACACTATAATATTTCAGCCAAAATTAATGTTCCAAATTAATAAAAAAAAATGTAGGCACTTATAGACGCATAGCAGCTGGAAAATGAGCGCAGCAATGCCTGGAAAGTGTCACAAATAAATTAATTAATGTGACGAGAAGGGTCTCTTAAAATGGCTTTTTTTTATGCCATCTCCTCTTCTCTCCCTTCTCAATCCCAATTTTATAAAAAAACATTATGATTGATAATAATTAATCAACATTAAAAAAACTATAGTAAGATTAAGAGAAATTAAAAATTTAAGAAGCTCGGTAAGCAGTAACGTTGATTAAATTAACAACAAACGGCCAGATAGCTTCTAATTTATATTGCTACAGCCATTTTGGCAAATCAAGAGATTGTTAGAGTATTCATTTTAAACTCTTCTCTTGGTACAATGCAGCTCAATATTGATATAAAGTTTAATGGGTATAAATCAATTGAAATTAAATAAAAAAAAAAAAAACCCAGAATACATAATCTTGAAGAAGAATAGAGGAAAACAATGAATCTTTCTTTAAAGTTTACAGAAAATTTGAAAAAGATAGATTTTTTAATTTTATGGGTATAAAAGCAAATGAAATAAAATCAAAAACCCAGATGATCTTGAAGAAAACAGAGAGAAAAATTGAATCTTTGTTCATAAAATTTATGACTGGAGCTTGAAGTTGGCGGCTATTAGGGTTGAGAGAGAGAAGTGAATGATGAGGGATACATGCTCATGTTTATATTCGACGATTTCATGAGGGATGCTTTTGTTTAATGGGCTAGGTTAACTTGAACGCTTCATCCTAATAATGGGTGGTTTTTGGGTAGTTTAGCCCATATATCATATATGGTGTAAGTGTGGTTCCTTGACCCTTTGTAGTTAGCCAAGCATGGTGACCCATTGGAGCGACGAGCACACTCACATAGCGTTATGTGTAGGCCTTGTGTTATTAGAACTCTGGACTTTGGTGTAAGAATCGTGTTATTCTAGTGTTACATTGACCTTTGTTTAAGCTAGTAGTAACATACGCTTTTAAAGTATTAGATGATATGGTGCTCTTTTATTAGTGGACATGCATTCTATGATCCCTACCCTCTTCTCATACCTGGTTTCCCCCATAATGCATTTTTGAATATTAATGGTTAGTTCATGTCTCCTAAGGTAAATCAAAGAGACTCACATATAGTAACAATACTATTTACATGAATTTGATATTTTTTAAACGCATTAAAAAAGAATTCCGTTGTACACAACCTTTGATAGGAAAACCTTAAAACTCTCTTAAACAATGCTCGGGATCTCATTTTTATATACAGAGTATCTTAATCATGTATTACGGGTTGTGCCCCACTACCCTAGCATGATGGGTTTTGAGTCTTTGACCTTTAAATTAGGGCATTGATACATAATAATTATGTTCCAAACCCCCAACTCTTAAGCATGGAAAGTTTCAAACAAGTGTATTTTTATAAAGAGTTAACTAGTATCGGTACGATTAGACACGACCTAACCAATTGTAGATTAGATTTGACAACTCTAAATTACTCCTTTTGTTTTTCAATTGCAACACTTCTTATAAGTGACTGTTTTATTTTTAATTGCAACGCTTCCTTAAAATTGAAACACTCTACACTACTCCGCATCTCTCTATTCACATAATCCTCATTCCTACCTCACTTACATTTATTTTTTTGAGTAATGCTCTTCTTTTATATACCTAACTAGCTATCCACTTTTTAATTCTCCAACAAACCCCACTAACTCACTTACACATTATTTAACAAATTAAACTCAACTGCATAAAATTTTGTGCTGGTCGAAGTGTTGCATTTTAAAAAAATACTTCCTCCGTTTTTTTAACTCGACCCGTTTTGACTTTTACACTATTCACCACTCCTTCTTTGACCGTCTTTTGTGAATAATATGTAAGGAAAAACATATTCATGTGGGATCTTATTGAATTCGTCTCAATAAGGGGCTGTTTGGTTGGGGGTATTCATCAAAGGAATTGGGAATCAAATGTCCTGATTCCCTTTGTTGTTGTTTGTTTGGCATTTTTTCCCATTCCCTTTACCCTCTCCATTACCCCAAATCCTTCCAACTTCATTCCCCACCCCCCTGGTTTTTCCATTCCCTTTCCTTAGCCACCACAACACCACCATGTCCAAACCGGCCACCACCATCCTACCTTATCCCCACCACCCAGCCACCATCGCCGCACCTCCACCGTCCCCTCGTCGGAGCTCCCTCGTCCCGCGCCGGCGATCCCCTCCCCCGAAATACTCTCCCACTCCCGCAAAAACCCTTAAAACTCACCCCCTTCCTCGTAAAACAGCCGGCCGACCCTCCTCCCACCCTCGAAACCCTAGCAGCTAGCATAATTTGTGAAACTGATATACAAACAACATTGTTTTCTTGTAAAAAAATGAATACAATAGCATAATTTGTGAGTTTTTGACTTTGTGAAATTATGAGTAGCATAATTTGTGAGCTTTCGACTTTGTTAAATTGTGAGTCGCATAATTTGTGAGCTTTCGACCTTGTGAATAACAGCTAGGGTTTCAAGGGTGGGAGGAGGGCCGACCGGCTGTTTTATGAGGAAGGGGGTGAGTTTTAAGGGTTTTTGCGGGAGTGAGGGAGTTTTTCGGGGGAGGGGATCGCCGGCGTGGGATGAGGGAGCTCCGGCGATGGGCGGGAATGGCGAAAGCGGGGTGGCGAGTGGTGGGGGAGGGGCGGTTAGTGGTATGGTGACTGGATGGTGGCTGGAGAAGGTAGATAATAGGTCTTGTGTGGTGGTGGAAGTGGTAGCTTATTTCCCTTTGTTATTCAAAACAAACAACATAGCAAAATTGGGGGTTTTTCATTCCATTCCGATTCTTTCCCTTTGTTCATTCCTTTCCGATTACCCCGTGCGAATCAAACGACCCCTAAGTATTATTATAATATATAACTTTATAATTTTTACTTATGAAGAATTAAAATTATTGATCGTTTAAGTTTTATATTGACAAGCGTAATAAAAGAAGAAATAAGTCAAATAAAAAAGAACATAGGAATTATATATTTTTGGTCCGGCCCATAACACAGACTCAATTTCATGCGTATGAGTGTATGACTATATGAAAAAATTTACACATGCGAAACCCGTGATCCCTTCATGAACAAACCACCGTAAAAAGAGGAGAGAGAAACTAAGTAACAACCAAAAGAAACCAAAAGAGTTGCGCCTGTTTTCTTTTCTATTTTCCGGCGAAAACCCCACCATTAAATCCGCCGTCGATCCACAAAACCGCTATTAATGGAGGGAGTCGGAGCTCGATTAGGCCGATCTTCTAGCCGTTACGGCACAACCACCGTCTTTAACGGACCCGTTAGAAAATGGAAGAAAGAGTGGGTCCCAATACCCCCTTCTTCTTCATCTTCTTCCTCAAATTCAAATCACCATCATCATCATAGTAGTAGTATTCATCATCATTCATCCTCTAATGGCGCCGTTAATGGCAGTAATGGTAACAGTGGGTCACATCTTCGTCTTTACAAGTGGGCCCCTGTTAATAAGGAGAATTCTAATTCGAATGATAATAATAATAGTAATAGTAATTCTAAGATTAGTAATAGTGATGTTAATGGTGGTGGTGGTGTTGCTAATGGAAGTAAGGACACTTCTACTGTTGACGACGTCGTTTCTGAGGAGCCTCCCAGAAGAAAATTCAAGTATATTCCGGTAATTTTTCTCCTTTTTCTGTTTGTGGGTTGTTACATATTTGATTTTTATAGCTTAATTGATTGATTTTATGGAAATTTCTGCTGATGAATTGAGGTGGGCATGGGTTGAATTTTTGTCTTGATTTTTACTTGCAGATCTTTTTTGAGAGAATGGTTAAGTATTTTGTTTTACAGTATAATTTTTTGGAAATTTGGGTGTTTTAAATTGCTTTAATTGTACCTGAAGTTGATGAATTGAGGTGGGTTTTTGGCTTGAATTTTGGGGGAAACTTTATTGGGGATAGTGCCCTTAACTTTTGGAAAATTAGGGTAATTTTTAATGCATTAATTGCAATATATGCTGTTGTTTTGAGGTGGGGTTCTTTCAATTTGTTCTTGTCACAAGCTGCGATCTTTCTTTTCTTTTTTTTTTTTTTTTTTTTTCCCAGCAAAATTATCTGGTCGCCAATGCTTCAAATTCTTAATTCTTAGAGGTAGATTTGATTTGAGCTTGTGGATTTGATTTGATAAAGGAAAGAAAACCAGGCAGACGACTAATGTCGTTTCGGATGGATGGAATTCGGTATCTTTCTT